AGAGAAGTCAGTAGAAACAAAGACAGAATACATGTGTGTGAAGGAGAGGGCAACAGGTAGAAAAGTAAAGATGCAAGGAGTAGAGAGGGTGAAGGTTTATGAATTTAAATACCTGTGGTCAGCCATCCAAAACAACACGCAGTGAAGAAGAGTACAGGTGGGGTTGAGTGGGAGGAGATGAGTGTCGGTGGTGATTTGTGATAGAAGGATAACAACAAGAGTGAAAGAGGAGCTTCACAAGCTGGTAATGACGCCTGCTGTCATGCATGTTTGGAGACGGTAGCACTGACAGAAAGGCAGGTGGCAGAGTTGAAGATGCTAAGATTTTCGTTGGGAGCGAGCAGGATGAAAAAAGTTAGAAATGAGTACATCATGTCTGGAGTTTTGATCTCCTCCATACCTGCTTCATACCCTGGAGGACGGGGCTGTGGCTCCCCCACACTCCCTAGCAGATCATTACATGGAGAAACCTTTGGAATGCAAGCATGCTGATCCACACAGGTATGCACACAGGTGTACACACGGGTATTCACAGACGCGGACTACAGCTTTCTTGGCTGCTGCCTCAAAGCACATTGTGCGCTGTCTATCTTGCGTGCTGCACAATATCGTTTATTATTTAGTATCTACTGATATCTACTGCTAGCTAGTTTATTGTGATGGTGCTGTTTTTTTTATTATGTTGCTCTTTGTTGTTTACTTTCTCTTCTGTTTTTTTTCTCCATACAGGTGACCCAGGTGTTTTGTTTTTTTTGTTTGTTTGTTTTTCTTTCTTTCTTCCCCCCCTTCTCACCGTCTCTTCTCCCCTTTGGTTTTCTCTCTCTCCCTCTCTTTCTTTCATTCTCTCTCCCTGTCCTATCCCCCAGTCATGTCTGTCCCGTTTGTAGCAACTGAAAATAAAATAAATTCATAATTATAATAAAGGTCAATCAAATGGACCAATATGGCAAGGCCATGATGATCCACTTGGTAAAATAAATCCGCTTGGCATCTTTCTTGGCCTTAAGACAACAATTCTGATGGCTAAAGATCCAAACGGGACACAAAAAATAAATAAATAAATAAATAAATAAATAAATAAATATAATGACACAGGGACGACACCAACACTAGAAGAGAACAGAAAAAAAGAAAAAAAAAAAAGAAATGAGTACATCAGAAGGACAGCTCAGTTTGAGCTAGTGTCAGTGTCAGGCTTCAAACTTTCCTTTTTGATAGAGCATATAGTTAGGGTTGGATCAGTTGACCCTGCATCGTCCCTTAATTTTGCTGCTTAGATTTGGTGCTATATTAACTACAACTGAATTGAAATAAAATTCAACTGCTGCATGGCTGCAGTGTGAGTTCAGTGTAACTATTTAGTTCACAGCAGTTTAGTGCTTCAGCAGCACTCCTGCTAACCAGCGTGACAGAGGACACTGAGCAGATAAGACTGCACACACCAGACACTGAAGTACCTTTCATGTGTCTTTGAAACTTAAAAAGAGGTCACACATGTGTGCTTGTGCAGCTAGTTTGAAAGCATGACATGCCCATCAAGTTCAAATAGTCTGTAGGCGGCGTTGAGTTGAGCAGTTTGGAGAAAAAGTGGGAGAGGGTTGAGATGGTTTGGACATGTGCAGAGGAGGGTGATTCTTAGTTGAGGTAAAAAGAAAGAAAAAGTTAAACTAACCAAGTAGTCAAAAACTAAGAAACACTCAGATTAAGCTGAGAACCATTAGATAGATAGACCCTTTTAAAACCAAAATTTACACTTAAAGAAGCTATGGTTGCTATATTTTAGTGCCAATTGTGATAGCTGTCTCACTGAACTGTGATGACTGACAATGATGCCATTATTTATCCTTGTTCTAGTGTAATATGTGTTAATTACCGCGTGGTTGTGTTCACTGATAGAATTTGTGGTATGTTTTTTTTTGTTCCAGGGACAAACATATTGATCCCTCCAGTTTTTCCACTTCTTTGTGCATTCCCACATGTCCATTCCTTTAGTTTCAGCGATCTTCCTCCAATAATTTGCTGATATTTCTAAGTCCTTGTATTATTATTATTATTATTATTATTATTATTATTCCTTGTATTTAGATGAAGATTGTTATTTTGTTATTGATAAATTCAAAAACTGGGGCAAAAAGGAAATAACCTGGAAATGCACAGGAGGACTAGAACAGAAGCAGAGCAGGTCAATCAGGAGTTGTGGGCAGCACCGACGTGACAAGTACTTACGTTATAGGGAGCTGTGTGTCTCCACAGCTGTTCTCAAACTAACGAAGGCGCTTGGACAGGAGACGAAACCTGATGTCCTCCTTCACTTTCAACATTTCTTTCAACTTTTTACTAAGCGTGTCAGTGAAAAGCTATGAAACGGAAGTTCAGCCCTCGAATCAATCCCAGTTGTTTATCTGCTTTTATTGTGATAATGAGGGAACGGGCCTCACATGGCCAAGAAAGTGCATATGGTACTTTTGAGTCTTTTAAAATATATTAAAATAAAAAATCCTCAGCTAATGCAACCCCCTTGAATTAAAGCTTTAAGTTTAAAGAAATTCAATCATGTCTTCAGCGTTTGAGTTAAAATCCACTGTGACACTGTACAGAGATACAAAAACTGTATTACTGCCCCCCCCCCCCAAAAAACAAACAAACAAACAAATCTTTGCCTTTATAGCTAAGAATTAAATTAATTACATTTGTTTTTACCTGGTGACCGGTCTGTCGAAACAGAGACACAGGCATCCATTCATTAAGCTAATTTAGCGTCACCAGTTAACCTAACATGCATAAAGGATACTCATGTGGGTACACATGGGAAAGCCCCCAGCCCACTGATTCAAATCCAGGACCCTCTTACTGTGAGGTGACCACCACTACTTATTAATCTGCAAAACATTTCACTGTACTTATGAGTCGAGACATGAAAAATGTCCTTTAAGTTTCAGATTACAGCAAGTGTTTGATAGCTGGATGACTCTACGAATCACTGACTTTGACTGTTATATTGGTTCAGTTATAAAAAAAGACTCAGACACGTTGAACCTTGAAAATAAATAAACTATATTTAAATAAGGTCAACTTCACTTGATTAAAGACCTTCGTTTTCTTTCAGGAACACGTTACACCTCATGCCATGATTCAAAACCGAGTTTTTTTCTAAGATTTTTTTTGTTGCATTTCATAAAAAAAACTTAAATATCATCTTTAGTTAATTTATTACAGTATCGAATAAATGTTTATGTCTATCACATGACATCGTAATAATTTCAGCCATTATTTCCCTACAAAGATTCAGGCAGAGAGAAATTTTCATCATCACAGGAAACGACTTCACAGAGAGACACACTGAAGAGAGCAAGACCCGGGAGGGGAGGAGAGGAGGCTGAACACGAACACAGACACTGAAATATCATACAGCAACAAACAAAAAGATGACCTGGGATGTAGCCTGGACCCAGCACAGCAGGATCTCTTTTCACAGCTTCTACAGAAACAGGTGAGGAGGAGACTCTGACTCCAGGAATGGCGCTTGTTTGCGTTTCTGTTCAGTCTGTCTGAACCGAGCAGTGGTTGTGCGTGTCACACTTGCTCACTTTATTTCACAAGGGGAATCGATCTGACAGAATGACCGACAGGCATCCATCACAGTAGACCATGCTGCTATAACCCACGTACACCGGGCTTCTTCGTCATGCATGTGCAGGGGAACACAGGAGGGGATGTAAACATGGATGCACACTGGGGAGGGGCAGGTAAGGAGGGGAGGCTGATAAGAGCCGGGGTGGGGGCATTACATCTAGCTACAGAACAGCGAAGACCAAAGGCCGACAGTTAGTACAGAAGTTTGTGGAAACATGGAACATTGTCCGGACATTGTAGACAGTTCTGTTTTTGGCTCCTGGGCCACACCGAGGTCACAAATGCACACATTGTGGAGGTGATTCGCTCTGTTCCTGCTGGTGCTGGTCATTACACAAGAGTTCAGCAGACCTCTGCATGTGTGCGTGTGTGTGTTTCATATCTAATGTTGGTCCCACCTGGTGGTTTGAGTGAGTACTGTTCAGGGGATTGTTTGAACCTCACACACAACAAACCTGCCTCACAGCCACAGCTAATATCTACAAAACTTTAGCTCACAACAGCCTGAGACTGACAATTATACTGGCAATGTTCCACACTGTTTCTTTATGTAAACATGCTACTTACACTCAAAGTTCCTCCGTCACAAGGACAACATGAAGAAGTGTACACTGGCGGAGGGTTACAACAAACACTGCGGCAGGAAAAAAAGACACGGACCGAGCTCGAACAAAGTAAGCTGCAGCTGAACCTTTTCTCGTATTGCACATTGAAACCTAACTCCATGAATAAACTCCAAACTGTTCTCCTCAAGGACCTGCAGCACATCTTATTCTTAGAGAAATAATCTTCTATAAATAAATAAATAAATATATAAATTATCTACTATACATGAAAAACAAAGACACAAATGAGTTAGCGGACCGTGTATTTCAGTAAATTAGATGCTTTAAAGTTTGGTTATGATGCACTACTACACCGTTAAAGGGGAGATTCCTCTCTGTGGAAAATATATCAAAGTCTAATCCACTAAATTCAGACACCATGTAGTCTACATACCAGCTTTATACACTGAAACTATCCTAAATGTCGTTTAGAAATACAAAAAAATCTACCTTGGCTACGTCTGCAAGGAAAAAGATACAAAACTGGATTTTAGAAAGTTTACAAAGTTAGTCAGGGTTAACCAATCGAATCCTTTTCAAATTGTCATGTTTAACAACAATAATGAAGAGTTCCACTTGTATAGCACTTATCATCTGTGGGTGAGAGGTTTAAAATGCAATGTCCTCAAAGAAATATATTTAATAGGACTGAAATTAGGCAGTTACAATACTACTAATAATAATAATTGAAGCTTTTAGTCATTATTATTATTATAAGACAATCTTACTGCTGTTTGTTGTGACATTTTTCACACGCTGGCTTTCCTGCTTCATGCATCTCAGTGCTGAACATAGTAGCCCTGAAATGCCAGCGTGGAAATGTCGAAACAAATCAGAGCGTGTTCGCACACCGTCCAGTGTTTTATGGTGTATTTAGCAGCCAATTTCTTCAGTAGCTTGTGAACATTTGTTCCAAGTCTGCCATGCAATACTGAGCAACACATGCATGCCTTGCAGAGCCGTGTTTCCTAATGCATTTCCCATAGAAACCAGTCTCTGCTGTGGCACTATGCCACTCCCGTGTAGACATCCTCATTTGAAGTAGACCCTCTGGTGAAGGAGAGGCGATGAATTACATTGCACGGGACAACATGATGGGTCCACCTGGATCTGGTGTTAGCCGAACCAGTGGAAACTCGAGACAGTTCTCCCTTCGTATATTGCACAGTAACCACTTATAGAGTGATGGAGGAAAAGATAAGCACAACACAGTGTTTTAGTTATGTTAAATAAAGTGCAGCCTGGGCAGTTTGTACAGCAGAAATCTTGAATACTAGATTTTTTTACTTGAGCTTCCCTTAAGGCATTCTTTGTTTGCTATCTTAAAGCATCAGTGTGCTGTAGACTACAGTCCTGCAGCCTAATTAATGTGTAGATTATTAGCTTTTTCCTAACAAATGCTGCAGACCGGATGTTGATGATCGCAGTCAGCAACTTTAGAGTCTTTATTTTTCAGAGTAAACTAACACTGTTGAGTCCTGTTGTCTGCCCATGCTGCTGTTGCTTACGATAAAGGAATGGACGAGTCTGCCACTAACAGTAACACAGTGATGGCTGACTGCAGCTCATCAGCCCATCTGACTGCCTCAGACAAAGTTTTTAAATGACACTGCACACATCGGGAGTGTGAGAGCGCATATTTGGTCCTTCAGGAGATGAAAATGTCCTTTTTGTTCCTCCTGGACCAAACGGCTTCTTCTGTTTTATACAGGAAGATTTAACATCAAGGACTAGCTGACAGTTTCTGTTCACCGAGTCGACACAAAAACACAGGGATGTAATTTACAGGTGGATAATCAGGCTGGTTATTCCCTTTTTCATAGCATGTACATGACATATAATGTGAAGATGCTCTGTACATGGCTATACATGCAAAAAATAATCCTTCAGCTTTATATGCAAGCCCCTGTCAGAGGGGCTGTGGTCTGGTAAAGCGAGTGGTACACGGATGTTCTTTTAGTCAGTGTTACACTTATGCAGCTTCCTATTTGCTTGTTTTGGTTGCTAAAACTTTTATTTTCCACTTAGCATGTCGCTAAAACTAAAACCGCTGACATTTGTAATCTTTGCAACTACCAGTGTTCCAGTCTGTGCATGAATTCGAAAATCATCTAAGCTTTGCTGACAACGACAGTAGAAACCTGCGTTTTTGCCTCTGCATCCTTTTGTGTGGCAGCCTGCCCTGTGAAATTACTGGACTCTATATTTGTACTATTTACAGCGCGTGTGGAGAGCCACCTTCAGCTATACTGTGTATTAGACAAGCATCACCACTATATAAGAATCTCTTGTAGTAAACAAATGTAATGTTGTTGTAAACATTTGACTCCTTATTTGATGCAGTGCTCCTCCACTTCCTCAGTGAAGAAACATGAAGCTGCAGAGTTGGTGGACTGAATGAGAGACTAAAGGAAAACAAAAGTATTTTTCCTTCTATGCTCACAGGATTGTGATCCATCTCAGTGGTCTGATCCTGCAAGTGAGCTCCTCAACTCAACTCAACTCAACTCAAAAAAAAAAAATACACACCTGGCTTTAACGTGAATAAAGCATCCTCTGACTGACCTGACCTTCTTTTTACCTCTGAATCTCCCGTCACAGTCATTCTCTGTCACTCTCCGTCTGCTCCCCGTTAACTATCTGCAGTAACCTTTCGTTTTCACGCTCTCACCCTCCAAAAATACTTCCTCTTAACCCTCATCTTTCAAGTAACAATGAGTGTGTTTGAAATGCGCTGTTTACACATGCTTAAATGTAGTGTTTGTGTGTTTGTGAACATGTATCTGAAGCCCTATTAACCAGATGAATCTTACACTTGTTTCGTGTTAAACCGTGGACCGAATGGACTGACAGTCAAAGATTTTGTGTGTGCTGCTGTGCAAAATTCTTCTGGAACATTCTTCATCTCCTCTTTAAAAGCCGTTGATGTGACAGTAGGCCTCCAGGCTGGAGAAGAGGATGTAGAGGAACCACAGACCCAGGAACAGGAGGGTGGTCAGGAGGCGGGACCCCTTCGGGCCGCCGAGCTCTCCGCCAATGGAGGGCCGGCGTCTGAACAATAGCACGGACATGCAGATGAACGCGAAGATGGTGAAGAGCGTGACGGAGAACGCCAGTGATCCAGGATCCACCTGGAACTCCTTTCCTTTGATTCTCCAGTACACGGCAGCCACTGACCACGCCACTCCGATCCCCAGGAACACGTTAACTGCGTTGCTGCCAGTGACATTTCCAACCGATGCGTCCGCATGCTGGTCCTGTATGGCAGCCACTTTGCTAGCAAAGGTGTCTGGGGGAGGAAAAAGTGGAAAATGTGGGTCATACACCTTCAAGCACACACAAACAAACACACAGACAGAAAGACAGTCGCCCTCCCAGAAAATGTTTTTTATCCATCCATCCATCCATCTATTCGCTTCCGCTTCTCCTTTTCAGGGTCACGGGGGGCGCTGGAGCCTATCCCAGCTGTCATAGGGCGAGAGGCGGGGTACACCCTGGACAGATCACACAGAGACAGACAACCATTCGCACTCAGCTTCACTCCCGCATTCACACCTGTGGACAATTTAGATTAAACAATTAACCTATCCCCACAAACTGCATGTCTTTGGACTGTGGGAGGAAGCCGGAGTAATGGTTTTAATAGAAAGCAATTAGATGATTCCAAAGAGACAAACAATGACCAAAAAGATACAAAAAAAAAAGAAAAAAAACAACAACTGCAAAGGTACAAAATGATTTACAGAAACTCAAAGCAACTACAGAGAGATCCAAAATTACTTTAATGAGGCTCAAAGCTTGTGTCCAATAAGATATAAAATAATTTAGAGACACAAAAATGACAAAAAAGTGACTAAAAACAACTAAAAAGATGCAAACTGACAAATAGACACAAAATGGCCAGAAAGAGAAACAAATCACCACTATTCTTATTGTATATATTGTATATCCTATTCCTCTGTTCCCTGTCTCTCTTGCTGCATTGAGCATGTGTATGACAAAAGAATTTACCTCGGGATAAATAAAGTTCTTCTTATCTTATCTTACAAAACAAAAGATACAAATAAATGATTATAAACAGATGCAAAAAAGCAAAATGGCTGAAAGACACAAAACAACTAGAAAGAGTTACAAGTTACAAAGTGACACTACATGCACTCATAAATCTGGGTATTCTCTCCCATAATCCATCAAAAACTCCTTTCTGCCTTTTCTTTCTCTCACACAGTGAAACGGGACATTTACTCACCTGGAATGGAAGTTCCCAGCGCCACAAACACCACGGCGGTCACGGTGTCCCGCAGCCCCACAGTGCAGCCGAAATGTGATGCCAAATCCCCGATGATGGCGGTGAGGAGGCCGATGACGCTGATGGACACAAAGAAGCAGGCCCAGCCGTTCCAGTACTCTGTTGGCGGGACGCAGGCGAACAGAACCTTCCAGAAGACAGTGAGGAAATGCATGACGTAGTCATAACAAGATGGAAGGCGCTCCTCACGACCTTCCTCCTCGTCATCATCGCCATCACCTGGAAGAGCCAAACACACAGTGATATTTTTTACAGGTTACGAACAGCATGGAGATCATACTACTCAGAGTACTCAGGGGGTTTGGACCCAGTACGTGACCTGGGTTTACGCTGTCACGAGGAAGGTCTTTTTGATTCTGTAGGTGATGTGTGGGATTCATGTCCTGCCAGTTTCATGGCGTGGCAGGATATTAATCCCATAAATGTGCTGTTGCAGTCGTAGCTCTCTAACCCTGAAGTGACCAAACTATCTTAGCACCTTAAAGGACAGAGCGGCCTTTGACTTTTGTACAGGAGCACTTTAAAAAATCTTTATCAAACTTTTACTGGGTCCTTTATCTATTACATATTTCTTAAATGTTGAAATGTTAAAGAAATAAGCTTATTTGAACAGTCATCATCTCTTACTTCATACAAACCAGATTGTCCTTGTTTTTTGAAAAAAAAAAATCTTATATTTAACATAACAAAATACAATGAAAACAAAACCCATCATGGTAAAATCACATTTTTCATCATCCACTCCATAACAGGGGCTAATTCCTGTAAAAAGCTATGAAAAGTTGTAGAATTAGACAAATTAATGATATAGGAAACATTTTTATAATAGAAATTTCACAGCTACAGTGGGGCAAAAAAGTATTTAGTCAGCCACCGATTGTGCAAGTTCCCCCACTTAAAATGATGACAGAGGTCAGTAATTTGCACCAGAGGTACACTTCAACTGTGAGAGACAGAATGTGAAAAAAAAATCCATGAATTCACATGGTAGGATTTGTAAAGAATTTATTCGTAAATTAGGGTGGAAAATAAGTATTTGGTCACCTCAAACAAGGAAAATCTCTGGCTCTCACAGACCTGTAACGTCTTCTGTAAGAAGCTTTTCTGTCCCCCACTCGTTACCTGTATGAATGGCACCTGTTTGAACTCATCATCTGTATAAAAGACACCTGTCCACAGCCTCAAACAGTCAGACTCCAAACTCCGCCATGGCCAAGACCAAAGAGCTTTCGAAGGACACCAGGAAAAGTATTGTAGACCTGCACCAGACTGGGAAGAGTGAATCTACAATAGGCAAGCAGCTTGGTGTGAAAAAATCAACTGTGGGAGCAATCATCAGAAAATGGAAGACATACAAGACCACTGATAATCTCCCTCGATCTGGGGCTCCACGCAAGATCTCATCCCGTGGGGTCAAAATGATCATGAGAACGGTGAGCAAAGATCCCAGAACCACACGGGGGGACCTGGTGAATGACCTGCAGAGAGCTGGGACCAAAGTAACAAAGGTCACCATCAGTAACACACTACAACGGCAGGGAATCAAATCCCGCAGTGCCAGACGTGTTCCGCTGCTGAAGCCAGTGCATGTCCAGGCCCGTCTGAAGTTTGCCAGAGAGCACAGCAGAGGATTGGGAGAATGTCATGTGGTCAGATGAAACCAAAGTAGAACTTTTTGGTATAAACACCATACCTACTGTGAAGCATGGGGGTGGAAACATCATGCTATGGGGCTGTTTTTCTGCCAAGGGGACAGGACGACTGATCCGTGTTAAGGACAGAATGAATGGGGCCATGTATCGTGAGATTTTGAGCCAAAACCTCCTTCCATCAGTGAGAACTTTGAAGATGAAACGAGGCTGGGTCTTCCAACATGACAATGATCCAAAACACACCGCCCGGGCAACAAAGGAGTGGCTCCGTAAGAAGCATTTGAAAGTCCTGGAGTGGCCTAGCCAGTCTCCAGACCTCAACCCCATAGAAAATCTGTGGCGGGAGTTGAAAGTCCGTGTTGCTCGGCGACAGCCCCAAAACATCACTGCTCTCGAGAAGATCTGCATGGAGGAATGGGCCAAAATACCAGCTACTGTGTGTGCAAACCTGGTAAAGACCTATAGTAAACGTTTGACCTCTGTTATTGCCAACAAAGGTTATGTTACAAAGTATTGAGTTGTATTTTTGTTATTGACCAAATACTTATTTTCCACCCTGATTTACGAATAAATTCTTTACAAATCCTACCATGTGGATTCATGGATTTTTTTTTTTCACATTCTGTCTCTCACAGTTGAAGTGTACCTCTGGTGCAAATTACTGACCTCTGTCATCATTTTAAGTGGGGGAACTTGCACAATCGGTGGCTGACTAAATACTTTTTTGCCCCACTGTACACATAGAAATATGCTTCAAGGAATACAGTTAACTGACTGTCTGCAGAGATCTGTTACTTCCACTAGATGGTGGCCTTCACTTACAAATCTGACCTCCACCGACCCTTCGTGCCTGAAAAAGGCAGCTATTTAAAATATTAGACTTATTATTTTTCTTACACTACAGACTAGAAGCATGCTAATATATTTTACTGATTAGAGGAGCAGCTTACAGCAACATTTGGTGCTTTGTTTTTAGGGATTGAATTATGTCTAATTCAAGCATCTTTTTCTCATTTAGCATAATTTACCTGCGATGTTGTTACGGTTTTACATTTCAGTTAAATCACACTGTCACACAGAATTCAATGACAGACAGAGAGATTGGTGTTTCCATAAGAACAGATGACTCTATTTTCTTCAATGTGTTTTTTCTATACAACATTTACAGATCAATGCCTTTGGAAGTGACACAATAAAACAACAACATTACAAGCTAGCATGTTTTTGTACATGTGACATGCTGGAGATGCTTCTGAATCCAAGAAGAGGAAACGGCACACACTGGGCTACAGGGACCGGTAGAGGTGGGTGTAGGACTAGACAATAATGATGATTAAACACCTCAGCGACCCTGGGTAAGCTCTGCTGCTACCCTGCTCTCTCTGGCTAAGGGCAACGTCTCTGTGATGAATCAGCTGTTTATGTGCTTGAGAAGAGGAATGAATCTTTTCTTTTTTATCTGACTAATTTTTTGGGGTGAAGATACAATGTAACAATTGCACGCTGAGTACATACTGTGTGTAAAAATAGATGTAGCAACCAGGTCTGGAAAATAAAGCCTTTCTTTTAAATGAAATTCTTTTAAATCACCAGAAAGGTGGGAACTCTTGAGGTTGAAGAAAGGAGACTTGTACATGAGCTCCCTCACCTTCTTGATGCGTTTATGCTCTTAATTGGTAATTTTAGATGACAACAAAAAGAACATGAAGGTCATTTTGTAGCATTTGAGGATAGAGGATAAAGCAAAGTATGCTTCATCAAGGGATTTACAAGTCACCCACATATGAAGACGCAGTGTCACTTTGATTCTAACTCCGATCCACCCCTCCCTTAGCTGATGATGCCACAACGGTGACGTCACTGTATATCTTTTATATACAGTCTGTGATCCTGCTATAAGGCCCCGCCTTGGTAAAATCCCCCTTTTACCCACAACATTTGATCAGTCTTCTCCTTCAGTGAAATTCATCTGGCAGCTTTTAAACAGCCAATGTCAGTATCTTCTAAAGCAAAGCTGGGAAAACTCTGCATCTCATTATTAAAACAAAACACAAAGAGGGCAGACTTCATGTTGCCTGAGTGATTTTGAGTTCACTGTTTTGAGCACATTAAAAGGTGATTGGACATTTTTAACATGAGTTCTGGCTTAATGTGGAGATAGCTGTATTACAGCTGATCGTGCTCAACTCTGAACAGCTGTTGAGCTATAGCTGTGTTAAACATCCCTGTAAGCAGGAGCCCAGGGAGGGAACTTCCCCTCCTATCTATCTTTATTAAATCTTACTATTACCGACCAGGCTGGTAACCATTGAGCATCTTAACTGGGAGGAGTGATTTTCTGTGTATCCTACCAAGAGACTGTAACTTGGCTAAATTCTAGTCTAGACATCAAATGAAAACTTGTGCATACAAATCCGAGTTACCAAAACTGTCTTCCTGAAGAATCTTTAATAAACAGCAGACGATGCAAACAATCAGGTGTCGGTAGCTAACAAGGCTTTGTTCAGGCTGGCGTAACATTAATACCAGTCTGCTGGCTGGGTGAAAGCTCACTCATTCAGCAGCCTCCTTCTATCCTAATCCTGTGCTGTCTTATAGCTATACACACATTAGGCCAGACAGTGTACATGAATTACACCAGCATGAAGCAACATTACAGTAGCACTCCTATCTCTACTTGAACCTAGTATAGTAGTGGACTAATTAATAAAATTTGTCATGATGGGAAAATGACTGAATTCATTTAAACAGTACCAAAATCACAACACCACCTGTCTCGAGGAGCTTTATATTATGGAGATGACCAAGTTAAAGAGGCACTTGGAAAATATATGGTCCTTTTTTGTAGTTATGCCCATTTGGGTAATGACACGGTTTTGTAATTGTGTCTCTGTACACCTAATGGTGGATTTTAAAACATATAATCAAGATGTGACTGAAGTGCAAATGTGGGGCTTTAGTGTAAAAAAAGGGATCAACAGCTTTTCTTTTAGTTTCATTAGTTTGCAAAATGCTAAAACGTCAATTTAATTCATTATGAATCAAGTCGATGTGTCACAGCAGTCTGCGTGAGGGTGTGGATCATTTTTAAAGCACAGTAGGCTCTTTAATGGCACTTTTACAGATGGCCAAAATCAAAATCATTGTTACGTGTCTGCAGGCTGCATGTTTTCTTTCCCTCTCCTTTTGTTTGCCATTTTCTCAGGTACACAGACTGCAGGCTGGTGTCAATTTGGGGATTTCCAGCTAATTAGAGGAAGGAGGCTTTGATTGGACAAACCAGGAGTGCACACCTTGATAAGGAGACTCACGTGTGGCTGGGAGCAGATCTCTCTTCCTTGCTTAGAATTGTTTGGCACATGTGTAGAGTGCCGCTGGTGTATTTCATTTGTTTGAAGGTTGTGGTTTGAGTAAAGAGGAGTAGCTAAGTCTGGGGACGCCATACACCTACTCACATGGAGTCCTTTCTGTTAGAAACACTAGATAAGTAGGTTGGTGTCATCCATGTTTTTTTTGGCCCAACCTAACTGTCCCTTTCTCCCCCATATTTGTTGTATGAATTTTGGTTATTGTTTTTGTGAGAAAGCTGCCATTAAACTTGTTTCTGTTTATAAAACTTGTACCGAGTATCTGGAGTTGTTGTGTTACCCCCTCCTGCCCTCGAGGAGGCGTAACAATCCTAAACTTCAGATGATCCTCGGTCACACTCACAGCTTCTGCTTAGACTGGCTGACTGTGTCGTTAAAGGGGGGAGAGCGTCCATGTGACAGCTGTTTGTTCACTCTAGTAATGCGTCCACTGACAGACTCTCACAAACAGAGCTCACCTGCACTGACAGTGACCGCCTCCACAAACTGTTCCCTCCAGGAGTGTGTGCCGATAACCAGCGCCAAGTTGGTCTTCTTAATGAGCTTGTCAACAGTGCTCTGCCAATCACAAGCACAACACACTTCATTAGCAAGCAATTAAATCCAAGGATAGGTGACAAGAGTCACTCAGGTGAGATAGAGCTTGTTAGTCATGCTTTGTGCAGCTGAAGGGAAGAGGAGAAAAGTTTGAAAAATGAACTATTTAGGGGGCCTTCAAAAACTCACACACATGAGTTTACCTGTCAGGAGGACGGTTTTGGCTTAAAAGTGCAGCCGGCAGGTGGGACGGCTCTAATAAAAGATGCTCCTGCGCTGCGTTATAGGAAGTGTTAGGAGGAAGACTATTTCTGGGCATTTGATTCAGTTTTGACAGTTACAGTGTATGAAAAAAGGATTTGCCCGCTCGTTTGTATTTCAGATCATCAAACACAATGTAACATAAAGCTAGGCAAAGGAAACCTGAGTAAATGCAAAATGCAGTTTCTAAATGATTTCATTTATTAAGGGGAAAAGCTCTGCACTCTGATTTTCATACTAACATAAGGACAACCAACCAGATCCAGCTGATGGTTTACCTGCAAACTCTCACAGAAGCTGAACAGATGCATCATAAAGACGAGCTTTGTTTGTCTTTGTGATTTCTTACTTGCAAAGAATCACAACAGCAGATGTGGCACAGATTTCTTCATCCGATATAATCCCTGACACAACCCTCTCCCCAGGGTTTGTGTCTCCACCTGCTTTTGATCTCGGGACCTTTTGCATATTAGGTGATCGTGTTAACCACGACCACCTAAATTAAATGACACTGTATTTAGTTACGAGTTGCGTAAGCTTTCATGACATCTGTCATATATGAAGAGAGGCCGACAAAGACACCACGTCAGATATTTCACTCACTGCTGCACGTGTTACACATTTTTTTCTTTTTCCTTTTCAGATTATTTAATTTTCCATATAATGACACACCCATCATCAGTTCAATTCAGTTAGAGGAGCTGTGTGTAGACCTCGAAGCCAAAACGTCAACATCTGGGCATCGATGATAAAATTGTCTCTGTATGATTGAAGTACGTGCAGTTTGTCTGCAGCTGCACAAACACATGAGGTAAAAGCTCAGTGTGCTCGGTCGAGTTTGGAGCTGTGAAACTCACTTCAGCAATTTAACCAGCAAATACAAGAAGGAGCAGATGATACAGTGCAAACATGCACACCTCTCCCACTGTTTTACATACTTCACAGTGACTGCGTTATTCCTCAAGGTCACTCACACTATCCACTAATGATGAGCGACAAGTACAATTTTATTTGATCACAAGGGGTTGGTTTAATCAAGCGGAGGATGACGATCTGGTGTCTCAGTGGATGGTGTTTGATGTGATGATGGAATGATGGCTCTCCTCCGTCGGCTTTGTTGATGTTTGTTCAGCGCTCGTTCCTCGTGTAATTAATCCTCAAACAAATCCAAGCTTCTGCTCGCGTTTAATTGGCTTAGAGTGAGACTGGTGTTTGAGTCGTTCGTGTCCTTCGTTGAGCTGACCTTATCTGCTTTGACACATTTTGTGTTAATTAGATTCCAGATCATTCAGAGGAAAGCATAAAAGCAAACAAGGTGTATTTCAGCGACTGCTTATTGTGACATGTGTTATTCACTGCATTTAAGAAGGATTTTCATGATTTAAAACCTGTGAAACACCCACTGCTTACATAAGATGATAACAGGAATTAAGAGAACTTGTTGATGGTTAAATTATTTAATTTTGTGTATTTCACACAGACTCAGACCTGTAATACAATAAAAACCTCCTAGCAAAACAGAAAATGGTCCTTTCACATGAGTGACCTGATACGATTCCTTAATTAAACGTTCGTGAAGTGTAATTAAAAATGACGGATTATCATCCATCCAAATGGTCCTTCTGCATGTTTGTCACCAGTAAACTAATCTAATGTTATTGCTTGGAGCATGCAGGAGGCAGAGGGCTTATGTGGAGGTGGTGGCTGCTTTTATTTGCTTAAAATCCAACCTGAGCTCAGCCCAAAGCACCATGCAAATATCTGGACAGCTTGCAGAGGAAAGAAGCACACGGAGGATGCTTTGCAAACTCTAAGAGAGTCTGCATCCTCCGTGTGCCTCGACAGAGCTGCTATATTGAGGGCAACTCATGCATTTTCAATAATTTAAACCCACTTTAGACCGGCACACTGAGAGAGGGTTAAGACCGAGGTTTAACAATGTGAGAAAGAGCGTAAAGGTGGATTGCATAACTCTGCCAGGAGAGCACAGTTCCTTCTATTTAGCATTTGTTTTTGCCCTCAGAAATCAGTAAATTAACCTCTGTCTGCAGTGCAATGGAAATATCATGAGGTCAAAGAAAGATGTGAGGGAAAAGAGAGTCTCAGTGCACAGAAAATGCAACCTCTCTACTCTAAAGGCTTCTTTGTGATGTAACCGTAGATGCCTGCTGGGCTGATAACACCCTGAAGATTGTGACTCATGCGTGCATGCTCTCCCTGTGTCTGCATGTCCTCCAGCTTCCTTCCACAGATGAATAACGTGAATATTGGGTGATTGTAAATTGGCCGTAGGCATGAATGGTTGTGTCTCTCTCTCTCTGTGTTAGTGCAGCAGTAGACTGACAACTTCCATAGTGTACCCTGCTACTGGGCCTACAACAGCAGTGACGAGCTCCAGCACCCGAGAGACTCTGAACTGGTAAGAACTGGTTAAGAAAATGAATGAATGGATCACCATAATTAACATTTACATGGTAGAATTATCTCCGTTTCTTTCATAAATAAAAGGTCCAGCAGATGCTAAAGGTGGTAATAGAAAAGCACTGAGCCACCTGTCCTTATAAATAAACAGTTGCCATGCTTATATGGAATATGTGCATGGCATGAGGTGTGTGTATAAAAAAGTGAAATTCATCAAAGTAATAAAATACAGACATTATTAGTTCACTTGAAATTAAAATAGCACAAAATAAAATGTTATTTACTCGCTGGCTCTGGACCTGTGGTGGCTCTGACTCACTCCTCCCGCCTAAACCAATTCTTAGTCCTAAGCCACTAAACACAACCCAGTCAGAGGAGCTGTAGGGCGAGCTGCAAGTTTGTAGCGTTCCCTTTGAGGCTTTTCAAAGTTAAAACCATGCAAAGGGTCATACATACACTCACTACATACGCTGGCACGGCTGGCAGCCTTAACCCAATTTCCCTCGGGATGAATAAAGTATGATCAAATGATCACTGCCCTCATTTAGGAACTACAACCCAACTGCTATGAAAGACTGTTGGAGTTTGTATTGAGGCCACAGGAGGATAAGCACTTTCTTGGAAACACTGAGGTGTGCATTTAAACTTGTTGCAAGTCAGCTTAGGTTTGTTGCGTTTCTTCTAATAACACTACAAATCTAGTGTTACAAAACAAGCCCACATCCTATCACACTCTGTCCTCTGCAGCTCCCTCAAACAACGTGCTGAGCTCTGCTTTATCCCAAATGGAGTTTCTATGCTGCTTCTTCTCCTTTCTTTGTTTTTAACTGCAATAAATAAATCAAGTGGAGTGATAAACGTTAAAGCTGCTGTGGGGCAATAATCAATAAGTCATCAATGTATTAAATTTTAACACATTCAATAACTTCAATAAAAAAAAGACATGCAGCAATAAAATTCTTTTTACTGCACAGAGAGGACAACGGTGTGACAGAGGAAGAAGAGAAGATGAATCATCACCTTGAACTCATACGACTCTTCAATGACCACCTCCAGTCGGCTGTGCTCTCCCAGGATGGGCTTCCCCATCTCTGCTATCCTCCGAGCCTCCTCCTCCTCAGCAGTCATCTGCCCCTCTGTCCCCTCTGTGGAAGATGGATGTGAAGGAAAGAGAAGGGACGGCACAGTGAGACTGGCCTGAAACTAAGAAACTTGTAATGGTACTTCCACAATGAAGTGTTTTATTTTAAGGAGCATTTGTGCGCATCACCATGAGCCTGAAATACGAGTCTTTATGTGTACGTGACAGATACCTGCGTATGTGTCGCTCTATGGAGACAAAGGGTGGGTGGCAGAATATTTGTACCATATGTTCAGAGAAATACTAAAATAAAAAAATAATTTAAGGCATAAGCATGTCACATTATGTGAGTCAGTCTAAGGGATTTACATAAGAGTCATTCAATTCATATTTGATCAGAGTGGATTTTTTTAAAAACTGAAAACCCCAAAAGATTTCACTTTTGTCAGTTTTAGTTTCATTATTATCATAATCAAAATGATCATCTTCACCATCATAGATGTGGTGATTTAAGCTGCAGTGTTTCCAATTTTACTTACAATAAATAAACAACCTGGTTAACTCAAATTTTCTACCAGCATTAAAACCAGACCAACTGGGGCATAAATGTTTTTCAAACAGGTTAGGGTATGTTTCGGGTGGGGCTTGTACGGCTTAAAGTCAGTAATTCAAGTCAGTTTTAAAATGTTGATACCACAAACAGGTTGACTTGGTTTAAGTGGCAGGCAATAAACAGAATGGAACACACTGAAATGTGTTGAAATCACTGATTTGTTAGTGAATCCATTTCCGTCCTGGAGGAGTTTACTGTACATTTTTTCTTATGAAATTTAAGTTAATGACACTCTTTGTGGAAAACAGTGTTGCTTATGTAAACTATATTTCTGAAAAAATAAAATTGGCCCATGAAACCCACATATTGAAACTTAAACCAACAGTTTTGGACTCAAAGATTTATTTTCCTGTGACCCAGAGCAATTTTTTTTTAAAATTTTGCATAATAAATGACTTAAACAAATAAAATTTATAACTGCACAAATCGACTCACTGTGCCTTTGTTATTAAAAAAAAATAAATCAGTGTTAACAAATGGAAAAATAGTTATGTGAGGCCTTCCTCTTAACCAAGCAACATTGTTGCTTATGACTTATGAGGGGAGGAGCTAAAGCAGCTTGTTTGAGACTGTGGATAAGCCGAGGCTGCAGTATAGCCCTTCAGTTTAAGGATCATCATGAACTTTGACTCATGAAAAGCTTCTCCAGTGGAGTCTGATAATAAAACTAAGCAGCTGAAAATGAGCATAAACAGCCAACTTTAAGCCAAAACAACTCTAACATTTTTCTATGGCATAAATTCAGCTGGCTGAAACAATGCAAAATGCTAATAAGCTAAACCGTGTGCTTTATATACACACCTGCTTCAATCTGTGAGAGAAAACACTAAAGAGCTTGCAGAAAGAGTTCATTTACGCTGACATATGGCTCAGTTTGGTTTACTGATCAACTGCCAACAGAGTGGCAACGGCAGCTACACCAACCAGAGTTCATCTTGGAGAAATAACCGAGAGCCAATCAGGGTTTGTATTACAGCCAACAATATTTTCCTTACACTAGAGACAGGTAGTAGCTGTCTGGGGGTTCACAGAGAGCTTGAGTTTAAGGCTCATTGTGTTTCGAGCGGGATTTACTCGCGTGGCCTTTCTGCTCAGAGAAAAGAAGAAAGGAAAGAGACGAGGATTAGACCTCCCCTCTCCACTTTATGGTGTATACATCTAATTCCAAAAAGGCTGAGAGTGCAAAGCAGCATATGGCAGTATTCACTGGCACTATTTCAAGCTGTCATAAACACCGACGCACACACACACACACACTCGGCTTGTGTGACTTCTCTTAGCTTTAAGGTACTTCTCTGAGCACAAACATATTTACCTCAGGGAAGGAGCTCTGCCTCCCCCTCTGTGACAGTCGATGGAGTTGAATGAGAAATTACCTTCAGGTCAACAAGTGTCATTGTAAACCACTTCTACTGGAGAGCTTCCTGCACTCAGGGCACTTTTCCTCAGTCTATGAGCATCTCATTCATGCTTTTTCTGCCTCTAATAGTCGGTCATTTGAGGTTAAAGCTGCTCAGTTGCTTTGATAGCAAGTTTGACAGGAAGTATACTCTAAACTCTGGAAGGTTTAGTTAATGGAAAAATGTTATGGCTGTCTGTTTGTTTACTGCTGGCAGAGCTGAGCATTGATTTTTGATTTTTAACTGTCTGTGTTGATCATAAACTTAAAAGAGCTCCTGAAATGAAAATGTGGGAGGACTGCGATTTTGATTTGACATATATTTAATTAAATGTGATCTGACATTTATTGGTAACTGGGTAAGCTCTTTTTGTGGAGCTATTTCTTTTAATAAAACGCTTATATAGATTTTTACTTATTGAGCTACGTGATTTTATGTTGCTTTATTTTTTTGTACTTGTTAGACTGTTTTCTTTTTACGTTATTGAGCTTTTTGAGCTGTTCTATGTTATTATACTTCCCAAGATGGGATTTAACAAAAGTATATCTCACCTCATCTTCTTTCCTTTCCTTTAGCATTATGGATATCATGTAAGACAGCATTTTATTTTAATATAAACAGTTTTGCTTTTTTAAGCTTTCCACACGTGAAACTCCAGAACAATAAGCTGTGTATATAATATAGTATTAATATTCATAATATTCTTGACTTAGAAAGGCCACAAACACTCTGACAAATCTGTACAAACCACCAAGTGTTGATTTTTTTGTGAGTCTTTATTCACAAGCTGCTCACAGCTCTGCTGTGGTCCAGATGCAAACAGGGGGCTATAACAACTTTGCTGTATCTAGAATATAAAAATCATCTGGAATAATTATTGCATTTATGAGTGATTAAAATTGTTAAATTAAAAATTGGAAACTCTTTAAATTAAAATTTCAGATGGGATCATGGGTTTGAAGCTGAAAATCAAAGGGGTGATGTTGGGTGGATATGCCAAACTGTGGAGTGGAAGTGAGTGTCCTCAGGGCGAGGAGCAGAATGGACATGTAGGTGAATTGAACTGAAGTGATGAAGAGGTGTTGGGTAGATTTGTTGTAAGGAGAAATGTGGAAGAACAGATATATGGTTGCTACCAGGACGAAAGGACTGTGGTGAACACCGACTTCAAGAAGAGGCAGGAGCGCAGGGTGGCATAATGGCGGAGAAGGTGCACATAGGTGGATGCAAGCTGGTGTCAGAGGAGAATGCAGCTTGGCAGTCTGTAGGATGACTTTGGAAATTAAGGAGATGATGAATGGTGGAAGCTGAAGAAGGAAGAATGTTGCACAGAGTTCAGGGAGGAGTTGAGGCAGACCGAGTGGTAGGAAGAGTCAGTAGATAACTGAGAAAGCACAGCTGTAGGAAAAGTCCCAAGATTTGGTATTTGGTTTATCCTTTGGATAAAGGAAAGAGGGTAGGAAGACTTGGTGGCGAAACAAGGAAGTATAGGACAACATTCAAAGGAAGAAGTTGGATAGTCAGGATGGAGAAAATAGACAGGAGTACCGAGGGCCTAGCTGGCAAAGAAAAAGACTTACAGTGAGTTATATGTAAGGCTAAGGAAGGAGAAAGGGACTTGCATTGATTAGCCAGGCAGAGAGATTAAGCTGGAAAGGATGTGCAGCTGGTTGGGGAGATTAAGGAAACAGATGGAAATGTAGTAATGAGTGACGAGTGTGGAAGGAGTACTCTGAGTAGCTGATAAGTAAAGAAAATGAGAGAGAGAAGGACGGATGAAGGACAGTTAGTGGATCAGGAAGTGTAGAGGATTAGCACGCAGGAAGTGAGAGCAGCTATGGAGAGGATGTGGAAGTGTGCAATGAGCACTGGTTAAGGTGACATACCTTTAGAGGTATGGAGATGTCTAGGTGAGAGAGCAGTGGACTTAACCAGATTGTTTAACACAATCTTGGAGAGTGACATGCCTGCAGAATGGAGAACAAGTGTTGGAGAAGAGGTGGAGTAACTACAGAGGGATAATGGTGATAAGCATGAAGCTATGGTAAAGAGCCGTTGAAGCTAGGTTAAGAAGAAAGGTGGAGATCAGTGAGCAGAATGGCTTGATACTGAGAAAGAGATCTACAGAGGCAATATTTGGTTGGAGAGAGCGGATGGAGAAGTATAGAGAAGGTCAGAAGGAGCTTCACTGTGTCTTTGTGGATCTACAGAATGCCTATGATAGGGTGCTGAGAGAGAAACTGTGGTACTCTGGCTCCGAGCTCCTTCTTGTCTGCAGTGGTAAAGAACATGGTGACTGACGAGAGTCTCTGTGGATTATGATGGTTGGAAACGACATTGTGATCTGTAGGGAGAGCAGGAAGCATGTGGAAGCGAGCCTGGAAATGTGGAGGTATGCTCTGGAGAGAAGGGGAATAAAAATCAGCAGAAGCAAAACAAGATATATGTGTTCGAATAAGAGGGAGGCAGATGGAAAATTAAACATGCAAGGAGCAGTGCCAGTGAAGGGAGATGGGCTTAAATACCTGGAGTCAACCATACAAAGCAAGAGATGTGAAGAAGAGAATGGAGACAGGATGAAGAGTGTGGAGACGAGTGTCCAGGGGGCAAGGATAGTAGTAAGTGTGTAAGGAAATGATGGTTTGGAGACGGTGGCGGTAACAAAAAGACAGGAGGTGGAGGTGGAGGTGGCACAGACGAAGACCATAAGGTTTTGATTGGGAGTGAGCAGAATGGACAAGATCAGAAAAGTTAGCAAAGTTGGAGAGGAAGGGCTAAGATGATTTGGACATGTGCAGAGGAGTAACGAAACGCTACGACCAGATGAACAGAATCAACTTTTGGGGACAGTGGATATATTGGGCAAAGGATTTTAAAGATGGAGCTGCCGAGCAGGAGGAAAAGAAGAAGACGACAAAGAAGATTCATGCAGAGGCTTGGTGTGACAGAGGAGCATGCTAGCGATAGAGTGAGATGATCCTTGTGGCGACCCTAAAAGGGGGTAGCTGAAAGAAGAAGACAGCAAATGCAGCCTTTATCCCTTTTTCTCCTGCTTGAGTGCTGCTTAACCTTCCTCTGTTGGTTTCGAGGACATGTCTACAATCATCAGTTAAGTTGTGTTTCCTCCGAGGTAGAAGTCAAAAATCCATGTTAGTGATTTCAGTTAGCAGAAGTGAGACTTAGCAGACAGCAAAGTGATGCTTGTCAGGGTTACCAGCCCCATAACTCCAGTGTCCAGACTACTCTACAAATCCTCTGGCTCTGCTCTGTGGATATATAGAAATTCAGTGATGTTTTCAAACTTTACTGATTAAAAACTTCAGAAACAGTGTCACAAAAAGTCTATGTGTCAACATGGATGAGTTTTATATGTGCATGTTAAGCTGCTGACAGCAGTGCAGAAGTGAGGCATTTGATATTAGGTTATTTTTCTCCTTCCTCCTTGAGGCAGAATCAGCAGGAAGCCAGAAGAGCAAACAGAATGATGGAGCGCTGAGTCAGACCGAATTTATTATCGTCTCGCTCCAAATATGTTCATGCCTCGGTGTGGGTTAAAATACCATTTTTAAATGTCAACCTTTGCTGGAGAGCTGACGTAAAAGTGAATCATCAGTGACTCTGATAATTGAATACCTTTACCAGTTGTTATTAAAAGATCAATGTTCTTTCTCTTTTTCCCCATTAAAAAACCTTTAAAAGGCTTTAGAAAAATTATATATATCTATAATTGCTTCACTTCATTTCATTCATTATTCCACAAAATAATCAACATATTGACTGAGCATGAAAAACTGTGGCTCGACTCAGACGTCCTGACAGTTTGAAGCAGAGGAACTAATCAGATGGTCTTACCTTGGTTGAGCAGCAGAGCTGTGAAGCAAACAGAGAGGAGGGCATGTGGACAAGAAAAGAAGAGCAGTAAGTACCAGCGAACATTCAGGAGGGAAAGCACAATCAAAACAAAACTCCACAATGAAAGCGCAAACCTGATCTCACAAGTGAGTCAATATTAACAGTTCAGTAAAACCTTTTTGTCTTTACAGTAAAACTCGAGTGCCTTCAGCAACGATCTCGTTTCTTACTCGTCTGTCTTTCAGCTGTTAGTGTTTTGTCCAAGTTAATAACACAAAGGACAGTCTGAAAATCATCTGAAGTTTAAAGGAAATGTCCCGTCTCCACGTTACACAGAGAAAAGCAGGGTTTGTGTGTCGATGGATGAAAGATGAATGGCTGTCTCCCTGAAGACGTGTGTCTCTGTGTTCCTAAGATAAGATGAAATTTTATCGATCCTTGTGAGGAGAGTGGGTCAAACAAAACAAACAAACAAGTAAAAGACAAGAAAAAAAGGAAAAGAAAAGACAAAAAAATATACACAAATAATGTGCCGCTGTCCACCTGTTCATCTGGGACAAATAAAGCCCAGCTGCAGTCTGAGCTGCTGTAAAGCCTCTTCTGTGAATTTACTGAAGAGGTGTAACTTAGTTTTGTGACTGAAAGGCTGAAAGCTTTGAAATGCGAAAAACATAACAGCTGTTTTAAAGTCATGGTCATCTTTGAGATCATATTCAGACTCCTTCATTCATTCAGCTCAGTAGCTGCTATTTACCACGCTCCCTTCAGACCATGCACACTGTGCGCTCTGTCATTTCATCACACACCTCAACCTTAGACAGAAAGCAAACATTCAATTCTGTTTTTGCGCCTCCGCATTAGAGCACTTTTCTGCAGATTTCACAAGAAGAGTCCAGTTTGTGATCCCGGTGACAGGAAGACCAGGAGCCTGCTCGTCATTTTTGACAATCAGAGCGTTGTGAACCATGAATTCATCCCCCAGGGTGAGACTGTCAACATGAACATCCTGTGGCATTTGTGTGACAGCGTTCAGCAGAAAACCTGAGTGGCTCAGAGCACGCTAAAATAAATAAATAAATAAATAATATATATATACACATTTTGCAATACCAACATGCAACACCTCACAAAAATGGAACAAAATAGAAAAGGTTGATGGATGATCTCTTTGACACTCATAGAAGACTCTGCCTAAAAGAATATGTACAAGTGGACCTGGTGAGACTTCTAAGGAGAGATCTAAAAATAGCAGCTTTGCTGAAAACTGTAAGAAGGTATGGATAGGAGTATGAAGACTCATCGCTGCGGAACAGACCCAACAATAAAATCCTCTGTTTCAGGGTGCTGCATATTTTTTTTTAAATCTGAATGTAAAAATGTATACATTTCATTTTTATACAAGCTTGTTTAAGGCAAACTCTTAAACAAGCTTCATGAATGCAAAGCTGTGAAACTGCTTTAAATGTTTAAAGTCAGAAGAGAAATTCAGCGCCAGCTTTGTGAAAGCAAACATTTGCAGTACTTTGATACCTCTGCAGCTGCGTTTTAACGAGTATGAAACACGCCAAGGTTCAGTACTCAGCCCCGTCTATGATGTCTTGTAAATACAAAGCAAACATTTCTACACTGAATAACCGTCAACTAGCGCTTCTTTCAAATGTCACGGTTAAAAAAACAATTCTGGAAAGAAAGTTGAGTCTCAAAACACATGACTCACTCTCAAACTTGTGCATCACGGAGCAACTAATGAGACAAAATTTAGACGTAAATATTATTTGCATATAAAAAGACCCTCTGATAATACGAGTCTGTGTATGTGGAGCATATTCTCTTTGAATTTCATTTATACTTCTCACTTTGTAACCTGGTGAGGGACCAGACAAAGAGCGATTCATAAGACCCTTATGAAAAG